AATGCTGCTGACATGCACCTTTGAGCCATCATCTATTTCTTTCTTTTGCATTTGAACTTGCACAGTATTCATTATGCTCAATACTGAATGCCACCATAACAAATTAAGGAAAAAGGTCCAGTTCATGGATTGCATTCATTGTATCTTTGCCAGAAGCTCCCACTCTTCATCTTCTATGCAATTGATAATACATTCAAAAACATGAAGAAAATAGATATGTCATCAAATAAAAAAATGCACAGTATTGTGAAAGTTTATGGTTATAAGCATTGAAGACGTGCAAAGACTGTAATAGACGCATTAGTCTTTTTTAGACTGAAAGAGGCTGATTCATACCACGACGATATTTATTTTCTGAACATTTTGTGCCAGGTAATAATATATCACAGTAAGCACAAAATTAAAAAGTAACCCCTCCACTCCTTGAGAAATAAAAGGGTCATTCGGTCATTTTTTTAGAAATGAAATAGTCAGTTTTCACATAATTTCTGAAGAAATGAATGGGAAGTTTTCTTATTCAAACTGAATGCTAACGCTCTGTTTCATAAACATTACGCAGATGGTCATTAAAAGAGTATAAAAAACACTCTGAAATTTCATACAATTTCATGATATCGTTTCGAAACAAAATGAATATCAGTGATCAGAATCACAATCAAAAAAATAAATGCAAAAAATTCTAGTGAATTTAGATGCATAGTTTTTCAAGTGAAATTACTTGTTAGGATGTGTTTTGTGAACATTTATTTTACTATAAAGAGCATGTATATAGCACACCAGCATGAGCAACCTAATAAATAAATGCTGAATATTTTTAGGATGTCCCTAATTTTCTGACAATATCTTTTAGTTCAGAATTTGCTTTAGACCAGCTGCTATCAGTCAACATGACTGACCAACCAAAAGATAATTTGATTACGTATGAGTTTGGTAGCAACTACCACTGCCTGGTGGATCTTTGGTATTTACTATTTTGGTGTAATAATGATGCTAATAAAAAAAGCTAATATATTATTGTACTATTATAGTAGCACAACACAGTTTAATGCAATAAATAATGATTACAATAACTTACGGTCAACAGATGTGGGTATCTTTGCAGCTAAATCAGCCATTTTTGCCTGAAAAAAAGATCAACATGGAAAAATATTCAATAATGAACACGATATAGCGCATGATAAGATAAAAAAAGTATAGGACAAACTCTGCCTCCTGTGAGGATTGAACTCACGACCCCTGGTTTACAAGACCAGTGCTCTGCCACTGAGCTAAAGAGGCTTGCAGTTCCAATATTCGTAAAGCTACATTTGAAATAGGTGGATTTTTAACATCTGCTTTTTACAAAATTTTAAGTACTTATGAATAAAATAAGTAATTTGATTGACTGAAATCGACTAATGATTGAACATTGAACGCAACAGCATTTTACTAATAACAAATAGGAAGGTAGGTAGGTGTATGTATGTACAATTTTTTTTTTTTGGATTCCACAATTACTAATAATGAATTACATGTTTAATACAAGTTAGACAAAAGAGGCAGGTTAAGAATAATAGTGGAAATATGAAGTTTTGTCCCAATTAGGAAAGATTTTATTCGATTGGCAATGAATAAAATGGACACATGGACCTAAC